TATATATATATATATATATTTATAAATCTATGCTGTCAAAATGTTTCCTTTGGTTTGGGAAACAGATGGCAGAATGCAGCATGCAGCGTATGCATACACACAAAATGTATGGATTTTATTTTTCAATATGATTTTTTTAAAAGGAAACAGCGATGCAGTTTCAACTTGTTCCCAGTCTGTCTTCCACAGAATAAATTAATATGGCCTGATTTCCACATTTATCACTGGATTTATTGCACAATCTTGCATTTCCTGCACATAGCGCTCAGAGCACCTCTGTGTTTCACACAAGAGTGGAATCCCAGTGTAAATCCAGGGTACATCGTTTTTTTTTTTTTTTTTGTAGTTAACACAAAACATTGTTATTTGGCTAAAACATTTGTCCTGTGTTTTTCCCCATAACTAACTAAAGGTAAAATCACATAATTATTCAATAAACATGACAAATATCAGTATCAGAACAGGCAATACTAGCCCTGTATTTACGTGATCTCGGATCAATACCAAAATTCCTGGTAGCACTTCGCCCCAACACCACCCCCACTCAGTAGCAGATCTCTGTGTATGTGCTTTGAGATTTGTTTTGTTTCCATCAGAATAAAACAGAGGAGCTGCAGCTGTTCCGCGGAGACACCGTGGTGTTAAAGGGCCGAAAACGCAGGCAAACAGTGTGCATCATCCTGACCGACGAGACCTGTGGAGATGAGAGGATTCGGATAAACCGAGTGACGCGCAACAACCTGCGTGTTCGACTCGGCGATGTCATCAGGTAGATCCTGCAAGTACTCTAAAGTATRTCGTGAAACCTCAAATTCATTTTTGCCTGAGGTACCATGTGTAACATCACAGCATCCATGCCTGCCCGGATATCAAGTACGGAAAAAAGATCCACATCCTCCCCATTGAAGACACCATCGAGGGTCTGACAGGGAACATCTTTGAGGTTTTCCTCAAGCCATACTTCCWAGAGGCTTACCGGCCCATACACAAAGGTAGAGATCATTTTGGGTAAATGATCAAACAACAAACCACCCCACTAACACACAAACATACATTTTTGTTCTTGTATCTTCATGGGGACTTTGCATTGACTTTCATTCATTTTTATAGCCTAACCACTCCATGTCCATATGCCTAACCCTAATCTGACCAGAACTTAATTCACACCCTAGTCAAACCCTCTACCCTAAACCAGCCTTTGAACTCATGGGGACCGAGCTTTTGTCCCCACAAGGAACAGTGGGTCCTCACAAGGCTGTGTGTACCAGAAAAATGGTCAAAACTGTCCCCACCATGTAACAAAAACAGGTACACATATACACACTCCTGGATGTTATTCTGAGTGTAGTTATTTCCTCTCTGTGTTGTCAGGGGACATCTTTTTGGTGAGGGGGAGCATGAGGGCTGTGGAGTTCAAGGTTGTAGAGACGGACCCCAGTCCTCACTGTATCGTGGCCCCAGACACTGTCATCTACTGTGAAGGACAGCCAATCAAAAGAGAGGTCTGTCAGAGCATGGGCAAGGAAAACAGCTGTAAATTTGTTTTAATCATTTGTACCAGTCAAATATTTTCTTTGTTCTTTCATCGAATGTGCAAATTTCCCCACTGTGAGATCAGTAAAGTTTTATCTTATCTTATCTTATCTTATCTTATCTTATCTTATCTTATCTTATCTTATCTAATCTTATCTTATCTTATGCAGATGAAACTAATTGGTCAGTGAATGGTAGTAATTGAGTAAAAAAATCATCCAACAAAGTGTATTCAAACCCGTGCATAGATTTCAAAAGGACTTTGTAAAAGTTTTTAMCCTCCTCACAGCTATCTGGGCTAGAGCATGAGTTCAGACAGTTTTGGGCTGAAATCTACAGCTCCAAATGATACAATTTTTGTTCCACTCTCAGAGGAGTAAGATACTCCTACTATAAGATATGAGTAAGATATTAATACTAGGGCAGGGATGTCAAACTCCTGTCCTCGAGGGCCGCTATCCTGCATGTTTTAGAGGTTTTCTTGCACCAACACAC